GACTGTGAGGACCCCCCCAAATCACGGAGCGGCGCAGGGCGCCAGCCTCTCTGCAACATTTGCCATCGGTAGCACAACACGGCCCGCGGCTCCGCATTTTAAACGAGCTCCTTCGGACCAAACATATAACCCGCATTATCTCCAGCATGTCCTGTTTAAGCACAGTTTAGCGGTCGCTACAGAAATGGGAGCGAAAACAAAGACGCGGCTAGGATCGATAAACGCGTTAATAGCTTCGTTCCTATCTTATCTTCCTGCCATTTTGCAAAGTGAGATGGCTCAACGTTAAACCTCTTAAAGCAGGTTATTATATAATAAACAGGGTTAAAACATTTCGCTACCTGACTCTCCGAGGAGGCAGCATCAGAGGCTGCTGTGGGGGTAACACGCGTGTTTACCTGCCGCGGCTGAACGCGAGATATTCAGACACAAATGTGGCCGATAATTCAAGATGAAATACAACGTGTATTGCTCTTGAAAAGAGGAATTTTCTATCCTTTCCTCGGTAATTGAGGTCATTCAGCCAGTAGGGTTCACCTGGAGTCCATACTGTGATACACACGTAACTCAAAGCTATTTTATCTTTTGTGCTGATAGTCAAGATCTCGGCTATAACATTGACATCAAACTCTGTCTGGGCGAATGACTAAGAGTGGTGCAAAACGTAAACTTTTGACCCTCAACTTTTTGACCTGCAGTTGTAACGCCCTTAACCACAAAGATATACAAAAGCTATGCAGCTTCTTTTAGGAGTAAGAGACTCGCACTGTTTGTTTCAATAGTTCTGTCGTTTCCCCCAGCTTTCTAAGGGCTTTTTTTTTCTTTTTCCTTCTTGCTGTTGAGAAATCGGATACTTTTGCATTTTTAATTATTGCTTTTTTTTTTTTTTTCCCTTTTCTTTCCTTTTCTTTTATTTATTCCCGCAGCTTTGTAAAGTGGTGTTAGATCAGTTTGCACAGCCTTTCGGCAGCGTTGGAGGGAAGCCTGTTACTCAAAGGCGCTATATGGTTACAATTGCAGGTGAAATGCTGGGTAAGTTCTGGGCGTGAGGTTGGAAGGAATGTGGCGACGAGCGTTGGGGGAAAAGCTGCAGCTCTCTGCTGCGAGGGGCTTAGTCATTTCTCCTTGATTTAAACATAAAGAAACAACTCTAATTGTTTGCGAAGCCTTGTCTAGGCAAACGAGTTGACTGTGAACTTGGTCTAAAGCGAGCTCTGCTGGTGATTCCTAGGGTGTGCAGATTTATCTTTTCTGCATTTACTTAACCTGGCAGTGAACTGCACGGGCTGCCATTTGTTATCCAGAGACAGACTTCACCTCAAGCAAGGACTGTTCCACAAAATTGCAATAATTACCCAATAACCTTCATAGCAAATATTATTATTGAAAAGACATTTTGGGGGGGAGGGGATATAGGAAAGATTCCTTATGCGTGCTATAAGGCAAAATCCTTGCAAAATTTTACACACTCTCTGTGTCAGATTTGATATTGTTTGTGCTTGTAGCTACAGGAACATGTGACTGTGATGGTTCATGAGTATTTGCCTTCCAGAGAAACATTAGTGAGGATGCTTTAATTTGAAAGGGATAATATTTTCAAAGATGACCAGGTGGCTGTGGGAGATCTGGTTTTGCGCTCTGGCTAGCAACTCTGGCAACAAATCGAGGAGATTTTAAGGGCAGGAGAGAGGTAGAGCTAAGAAAGCAAAGCGATGTCTTAACTTGGTGAGGAGATTTACTTACGCCTGCATTTAATGCGTTAAATCTGTATTTGCGGGGAGGGAAAAGGCATTGCTCCAGTATCCAGGGTTTGAAATCGAAACCTCCAGATCCGCCCCTCATGATCTGTTCCATTCAATTTCCCATGGAGCAGATTGCAAACCCCTCTATTGTCACCCTTCCACAGATACACACTTATTAAATGTAAGGAAATGGCAGAATAATAATTTCCCCGTAATGTTCTGCAATTAGGGCGTTTGCAGGGTTTAGACAAGGCTGCAGAGCTGTAATTTACGGATGACTTTCCACCGGATTGTTATACTTCTGGTTTAGAGAAAGTTATGTCTCGCAAAGTCACTAGTTAACACACATTAAGAGAGTTGCCTAATCTTTAATTGGCCTTCCGCTTAGACATGACACACTACACTCAAGTATTTCTTTCAAAGGATTAGGTAGACTATATTTCAAATCGCAGAACGCCACTTGCCATGCCTAAAGTAAAACAAACTCGCACGCATTAATCCCCCAAACACAGCAGAAAAATAATGTGCGCAGATAAGACCTCTCCCCTGATTCCCAGCGATTATTCTCCATGACATTTCTCTCGGATAACAATTAGGACCTGGGAATATTTTGGTAGAGTTCGGCAGTCTGGGGTCGTTTGAATTTCAAATTTCAAAGCGGATTAGAAAGTATGAATGCGTTTCTGGATTTGGATGGCTTCAACCGTGCTGCTTAGGACGGGGCAGGGCCAGAAATATGGAGAAGTTGTCATTTCTAGCTAACTTTCTTTTGTTGTTAGAGAGTTTCTTGCAGTACGGGAGGGTTTGTATGCTTGTGGGTTTGAGGATGTTTTTCTTTTCTGTAGTTCTTGAATCTCTGTACACTGCTTTACGTGGAATATGCTCCAGAAGCCACATTCAAAAATGTGAAAATATGTAGTAGCAAATCTTTTCGCTCTAGACAATGAAAAATTACAATCCGCGATGATATCCAGGTTCCTAAAATAATAGTCGAACGGGCGTGCGTGTGTTTGTATATTCACCAGACAATTCAAATAGCGCAGTGTTGTTGAATATTGAGTAATCGCAAATGGTTTGTGTCTAGTATCATTCCCGTTTACAAGCGAAGGATTTTCCTTGGAAAAGGACCCGTATATAAACGAAGACCAAACTTTTAAAGGGTTTTCATGCTTTTGCCTCAAACTATAAAATTTTATGGCATATAATATAATATAATACACGCCTATTATATATAACTTGCTTGTATTCCTATTGACGAAAATTTGACAGCTAGTGTACTATAAAATCTCCAGCTGTTTATTATGGAAATGATTTTCAAATGTGCATTTGGATATGTACTTTTAACGCCTTTCCCATTTTTTTAATATAAAGTATATGCATATGTGTTTGTTTAGTGTTCATAGGAAGGATACACAAACACAAAGGCTTTGGACTCCATTTATCTTACACAGGGCACTGACTCTAAATATTAAATATTTGTAAAAATGTGAGATCTTTGAGCTGAGCCAACCTTATACACTACTGTTCCTTTAACGCTAAAGGCAAATAAATTAAAAATAGGACTCAGTCAGCAATGTGCAGACTTTGCAGAGTTACACAACAACCTTACCCTCCTGTACTCCTGTGCCTTTCTCTCATTTTTGTTCACGGTAGCAGACACAGCCTAAACTACAGTATTCAAACGGGATAGCACTAGCGAAAAAAAAAAAAAACAAAGCCCATCTCCCATCTCGCATCAAACCACCCCGTTCTTTTGCAAACCCGACTTTAACACACATGAAGGAAAACAATGCGTTCCGCTGAATCCCTGCTACTCCAAACCTGAGCAGAGAGAGAGATACAGCTGGTTTGGAGATACATATATATGTGTATTTATATATGTATATGCGTATGTATATATATGTATTTTTTGGAGGCAATTCTCAAATCTCTTACCTACCCCCCCGACTAGCCACTCTGCACCCCTGAGATCACTCGCCTAAGTAACAGCTCTGAGGGTAAGGATCAGGCTTAATGCTATCCAGAGAAAGACAGAGTTCCTTTCACCCTTTCATTCAAGTCCTGGAAATTCAAAGGCTAAAGTTAAATCCGGCCATAAAGTTTATTGCTGAGTAATCACACTCTAGTGAGAACAGTCCACTTAAATAAAAAGAATGTTGAAGTAAACACGCAGCTGGGGCCTACCCCACAATGGCAGCCAGCAATATAAGGCAGAGAGGGAGAGAGCAGAGCTAGGGGGATATTTACAATCTTCAATAAACCAAGCCCGTATTTCATAATTTGCAGCACTCTAATGACCTGTAGTCTCTTGTATTAATGCTACAAGTTACAGTCAATTGGTTCACTTTTTTAAAAAAAAAAAAAGTCACAGAAACGTATATATGTATACACGCGTACACACCCTTTGTATACATAAACACACCGATATTAGACACACATGTGCATGTGCATGGCTTTATACAGGCATATACATGGATTTGTACATGCGTGCACACATGCACATGCGTATATATATTATATAATAATAAATATATTTGTATTTATGCAATTGCATATAGGAACTGGAAAAAGTTAGTTACAGCAACATTATAAATGCACATCCCCAAAACACACTACATGCTCGCTGATGGACATATATACATAGCTAAAGCTTTCTGCATAACCCAATGCAGAAAACAGGAATCTTACGCGTTCCAGTACAGTCTGTGCCATTTTAATACTAGCTCTGATGTGCAACATATTTCACCAATCCAAAGATTATTACCATATCAGCATGCCTCCAACTCTATCATGCCTACATAAGACACTGCCCAGATAATATCAAGCCCTATCTATTTTGTTTTCCCTTTTTTTTAATCGCCTGCAGTAACTACTCTTTGCTAAACAAAACCTCTCCAAACTTGGAGAGTCTATTGGAGCAAAGGAAGTAATTATCTTCTGCGGTAGTCAAAGTGATTAAAGCTAGGCCCCAAAATCCATCTCTGCCAAAGTCGCTTATTGTGGTTTACTTTGATTTGATCATTAAAATAGAGAGCTAGCTGCTGCGAGTGAAGGGATGGGGGGGATTTGCAGCGCAACCTGGATCATTAGTGGTTGATCCTGCCTCGCAGGCTCCGTGGGACCGTCCTGAAAAGCTCCGGGCAGAGAGGGAGAGAAAGAGAAAGAGAAAGAAAGAGGCGAGAGGCAGCGAGAGCGAGCAGGAGCCTCGGCTTCCCCACTGTACAAATAAACTTTAAGGAACTTGTGCACAAAACTTACCTTTGACTTGCAAGGAGCCATTTTTCATACAGTATTGAGAACTTGTGGTTTGGATACTTCTGTCCCTAAACCTGACAATTTGAATGGCCAGGAGGCACACGTAGCCTGCAAAAGAGTCAAATGAAGTCCAGCGTCAGTGAGATTATATGTTATGTGGTATATAATGTTGGATGTCAACTCCCCAAAACCATAAAACTTACTTTAATGGCACCACGTGACTTTTTATAGCCAGTGAGCCTATCTGTCTGTGCTATGGATGATTTTACGATCTAATTCATAGACAAAACCCTATTCATTTGGCACCCAAATGTCATATAGCCGGAACTGGGGCTTATAAAGTTTACTGTTTTATAACTTTTAAGGGAAGGCATCAATGTAACCAGTCAGTAAATGTGCAAATCTTTAGTTGCTCTTAGAAGCTCAGAAGAGTTAACCATTCAAGCTCTGATGGGGTAAGTAACATTACGTTTATAGCAAACTAATTGTAGCGAAGAAAACCAAAAATCTTTAAAGGGTGAAAAGTGGGAATGTGACTAGTGAGGGTTACTAATAGACACAGAGGGCTCAGACGTGGCTGTCCTGCAAATATACTTAATGAAACCACAGGAGAAATTCTAGAGCAATGCAAACACGTCTTGGAGTTAGCAGCGTGTTTTAACAAAGCACATGGGTGTTTTTTTTTTTTTAACCATCAGCAAACAGCTAACAGTTGATTCACCCACAAAGGGTGTTGATTGTGGTCCTGCGATGCAACTTTCAACCTAGCAAGAAACCAGTAAGGAGGAACTTATGGTCAAACTTTCAATTAAAAATACTGGTAGCGGACAATCGCAGCATCTACCATCTGCAACATGCAGCAGGAGCCAGGTAAAATATTATTACAAACTCTGCACGGGTTTTTTTTTTTTTTTTTTTTTCAGAGGCAAATCAGGAAGCACAACTTCTTGCTTTGCACAAACCAGATCACGAAAACTTTACAATAGAAAGTTTATTTTTTTTTTGTTGATTTCCAGTCAGTTTTTTTAAAAACAAATACAAAAAAAAAAAAAAAGCTGATCACAGTTTGCTCAAACAGCCAGACTTTGACTATATTTGTAACTTTGTTCACAAAAAACATACATCACAGAAGCTGCGCTTAATAAGAGCCACTTCTAAGAGTTCGTGCAAAGAGTCATATACAAAGGCACAGCAAGGACATACTGCTTGGAATCACAGTTTTCGTCACAGATTCACTATTCACTACACGTAGGACAAGTTCAGTTGATTTCATCATTTCACCTCTACAACAGCATTAATTACACAGGAATTATATAGGTAGTTTGAATAAAAATATTTTTAACAGCTTGGAGCTATACAGACATTAACACTTGACCACACATGCACAGTTAAGCAGGTTGAGTGCAACACATAACATTTGTACTAAACCGGGGGAGGGTTTCTTTCTCTCTCTCCTTTTTTTTTTTTTTACCTTCCTTTTTTTTTTTTGTTCTTTTTTGTTTAGTTTTGTTTTAACAGTTACTTCAAGTAACACAGCTCGCTTCATATAAATAAGTTAAAACATCTATTATTTTTTTCAAGACAAAGCCATTCAAGACAAAGAAATGTACGATAAAAGCAGATCTACTTATACACGCGAGAGAATGGTAATAAACAGGCTCATGATTAAAAGATGAATAAGGGCAACAAGAACAGGGTTTCTTCACAGAAGTAACACAAGGAAGTTTTAGAAAGTCAACTTAGTACTGACATGAGACGCAGGGTCAGCTAATACTGCTCAGTACTTTTAATTGATCAAACGCTTAGGGACGGAATGCCCCTCCTGCAGCTGCCATGCTCATACTTTTCAGCTTATTATCCTTTTTCCATTTCATTCTCCTGTTTTGGAACCAGATCTTTATTTGTCTCTCTGAGAGGCAAAGAGCATGTGCTATTTCAATCCTTCTTCTGCGGGTCAGGTATCTATTGAAGTGAAATTCCTTTTCCAGCTCCAAGGTCTGATAGCGGGTGTAAGCAGTCCGAGCCCTTTTCCCTTCTGGTCCCCCTATGTTGTCTGGAAGAGAAAAGTACATGATTTAGGTTCTCAGCAGCCACTCGGAGCCTTCGTGTCTTATTGCAGCTACTAGCGACCAGGACCGTTATTCTCAGTCCTGCCTGGTTTTGTTTCTGGTTTGGATAAACGCTCAACAAGTTTCCCCCTCCAGCCCCTTTTAGGAAAGGCTTGGGGGAGGGGGATTTGGTGGTCTCGGTAAGTTTTCGCTGGAATTTGAGGGTTCGATTTTTTTAAAATGGAATTTTTATCTTATTTTTTTGGAAGGCTAATCCTCCCCCCCGCCACCCTCCCACCCCCCCCCCCGCCTCCGCCTCCCCCAGATAAGCTGGTTTGGAGGTTGCCTCTGCTGCTCGCTGGGTTTTCAGGGCTGGGAGAGCAAAGCTGAAGCGTGCAGCCCTTTCCCACGGCTGAGCTGGGGAAGGCTCTGGGAGGCAGCGAGCCCCCGGCCGCTCCCCCAGCAGCGAGAGCAGGGCAGGTACCCGGGGCTGACAGTTGCTCCGCTTCCCGGCGCCCCTCAAGCCCTCTCCCCGGAGTTTGGGGCGACTAGCCCCCCCCCCCCCTCCCCCACGGCTTCCCAGCGGTGAAACCTGCCCTCCTCGCCCTCTCCTATTCTCTTTTTAATACGGCTCGGCGAAATAAATGGGGTCAGCCGCGCCGTTCCCACTGGAGGATCCCCCTTCCAGAGGAGAGCCGGGAGCAGCCTCTGCTCCCGAGCCCCCTTCGGGAAGGCGCTTTCTGCTCCCTCGCTGCCCGCCGGGGCCGGCGCTGGGAGCCGGGCGGGCTGCGGTTTGGGGGCCGGGCGGTTTGTTGTTTTGTTTTGTTTTTTTTTTTTTTTTTTTTTTTTGTTCGTTTTTTAGGTTTTGGGGTTTTTTTGTTTGGGTTTTTTTTTTCTTTTTTTCTTTTTTTTTTTTTTTTTTTTTTCTTTTGGGGGGAACTCGCCCGGAGAAGGGAGCGTGCTTCCCTGCGAGCAGAGTTGTGCTGTGCGCGGAGGCTGCCCGCTCTCACGCCCTCCACTCCCCCTCTCCCCGACCTTGCTCGGCGCAGCCACCCGGTTTACATTAAATCCTCCTTTTCCTCCAGAGAAATAAAGAAAGAACAGGGTATTTGCTTTACCATGACTTATGTGCAGTTTTCGCATCCAGGGGTAGATCTGGGGCTGTGAAGGCTGGGCTGTGCTTTGGTCGGTCGGGGCACTTGCCTGCTCGCTGCTTGCTGGAGTGTCTTCCTCAGTCCCAGACGAGGTGCCAACCCCGTCTCTGCTGATGTGCGTGTTGCTGCTGGAATTGGACGAAGTGCTGGTGGAGTTGGCGAGGGAGTTTTTCACCCCGTGGTGACTCTCGCTGACAGGCGAACCGGCCACGGCGGTGCAGGGCAGAGGGTCAGGGGGAGGCGAGTGGGAAGACGTCGCGGGCTGGTTGTACCTGGGCTCTGTCGAGGCAGAGGTGGTGTTGGCCGGGTAACTGCGGGGTCTCTCATTGGCACCAAAGTGGGTGGAAGCAGAGCGCCCGACGCTGAGGTCCATGCCATTGTAGCCGTATCCGTACCTGCCGGAGTGCATGCTGGCGGAGTCCCTGTATTGCTCGCTCACCGAGCTGTGATCTCCATAATTATGTAACTGGTAGTCCGGGCCATTTGGATAGCGACCGCAAAATGAGTTTACAAAATAAGAGCTCATTTGTTTTTTGATATGTGTGCTTGATTTGTGGCTCTTGGTCGTTTTGTGCGTCTATAGCACCCTTGCACAATTTATGATGAATTATGGAAATGACTGGGACATGTACTTGGTTCCCTCCTACGTAGGCACCCAAATATGGGGTACGGCTTCACATCACGTGCTTTTGTTGTCCAGTCGTAAATCCTGCCTGATGACCTCTAGAGGTAAACTCGTGCACTGGTGGGGAGCTGGGAGGGCGCGGGCGGCCCGGGGCGCGCCGCCGCTGCGCGCCCCCGCCGCCGCCTCCCGCCCGTCCGCCGGCCTCCGGCGCCACCCGCTGGCGGCGGGGGGGATGGCGGCGGCTCCGCGGGGTCGGCGCGGGGTGACGGCCCCCGACGGCGGCGCGGAGCGAGGGGGAGAGAAGGGGACGGGAGGCGCGGAGCCGGGCCGGCCGCGCCGCCGCACCCGCCGGCGGGAAGCGGGAGCGGGCGGCGGGGCTTCGCTCGCCCGGGGCGGCCGCCGGGAGCCCGCCGGGCCCGCGGCGCTCCGCTTTGTGCCTCCGCTCTCCTCCGTGCGAGGCTTGGTTGCGCCAGTTCACAAAGCCGGCGTGAGCCATCCCCGGACGCTGGCAACCTTTCTCTCCCTTACGCACACACACACACACATATATATATGTATGACTGTTTGCCCCCCTCTTTTTCCCCTCTTTTCGAGAGGCACCCGGGTCCTGCCGCTGGCAAATGGCAGGTACCTATGAAAGATAAATATCGTGCAGCGTTTTTCCGACTAGGGGGTCAAATTCCAGGCGGCTCTACGGCCACCGTTATTTTTCCGCCTCTCGGAAAAAAAACAAACAAACAAACAAACAAAAACCACACGAACAAACCTCTAGATGCGGCGGTAGCCATTTTGCATTAGTGCCTTCCAGATTGGGCTTTTAAAATATTTAGAGCGGTAGCCCAAATTGCGCTGCCTTCCAAACAAAAGAGCCTCGATGCTTATACAAGTGTATTTGTACACAGCTTCACACACACACTCACGCACACACAATATAATATAGAGAGATATAACGTATATATTAATCAGTATTTCGCTGCGCTTATTTTACTTATACAGAACTCGAAGTGGAAGCATTTTATGGCAGCTACTTTTCTTTAGAGTATCTATTTATTTTTTCCAGTGCTAAGAAATGTGAATATGATTTAAGGTACCACAAAACGGGGAAGAAGATCCTCGAGTTAATATGACAGACACTTTTCTTTTAATAAAACAAAAAAAAAAAAAAAAAAAAAAGAAAAGAAAAGAAAAGAAAGGAAGATCGACCCAAGCCCACGAAGCCCCAAGAAATGTAATCCATAAGTCAAAGCCCCTTCAGTGTAGAGTTGAGATCACCGAAACCTCGGTGTCAGCTCAACGGGAACCAGAGAAATTTGCCCCCTTCGAAACCTCTTCCCTCGCTTCCCCTGAAGTTTAACGCCGAGTTTTTACTTCAATACTAGTAGTGCAGATTAGGCAGTTTAGCGGCATTAAAAAAAAAATCTCCCTGCAATTCATCTTCGCTTTAACTGCAAGTTTATACCCAGGATTTTATACAACGACTTTTTAAAAGGATTTTTTCTTCTTTTTGCTATTTAAATATCTTATAAATGTGTAAAACTTTCTTTTTTTTTTTTTTTTTTTTTCCGTTGCAGACCATAAACTCATAAACACAGCATAACAAGACGGCCCAACATAGCGGGAGTTAGCAAAAACATAAACCCAAGATTTTATAAAATCTCTCGTATTTCTACAATATGAACATTTATAATTAAAAAAAAAAAAATCACTCACTTATTTCTTTTCACACAGGCACTCCAGGGACACTCACCCACACACACTTGCTCACCTCAAATATTTAAAAATCTGGGCCATCAGATTTCTAATACTTTAAGCAACGCCATCTACGCTTTGGGAAGGTGGTTATATACATACATGCCTGTAGCTCGAAAGCTAGGACTTCCACGTATATTAAAAAAAGTCACAGATGATTGCAAATGTGCATCTTTTCACCAAGCCTTTTGGGAATTAATAGACTGTGACAAACCTATAGGATTTTAGTAGCAGAAGGAACACAAGGTAAATAATAATAGTAAGAGTAAGCGCTAAGGAAAGGCCTGGTAGCGTTTATTAAATGTGGTTCTACTCCCCTGACTTTTCCTCTGTTTCTTCGCTGCTGGGCTGTGTGGAATTTATGAATTTGTTTTCCTTTTTCCATTTCATCCGCCTGTTTTGAAACCATATTTTAATCTGGCGTTCAGTAAGGCAGAGAGCGTTTGCAATCTCAATACGTCGTCTTCGGGTTAAGTATCTGTTAAAATGAAATTCCTTCTCTAACTCTAGCGTTTGGTATCTGGTGTAAGTTTGCCTCCCTCGTCTCCCATGAGTTCCATATACTGTACCTGTAGAAGTAAAGACAAAACGATCGCATTGGACAGGGCCCAGTGATTTTAGACCAGAAAGCGGTTAGTATATTCTGCCTCCTTTTCCAGGCACAATCACGGAGGGGAGGGGGGGGGGGCCGGGACGGGGAGGGGGGGGGCTGCTCTGGTTTCCTGCAGGCTTTGTTTGGTTTGTTGTTGTTTTTGTTTGTTTGGTTTTTTTTTTTTTGTCCCCTTTTTCCTTTTCTCCTGCCTGAGCAGCTGTAAATGCGGGTGTGCAGCGTGCTTACGGCCGTGGGCTGAGTGGGATACAAAGAGGCTTTAAGGCGAACCTAGGGAACGTGGGATAGGTAACACCCGTGTGAATCTCCGAGCAGTGTCTCTCCTCTGCGTGTTGAGAGCCTGTGCGCGCACGCACACGCACACACACACACACGTGTGCGACCCGGGGAGCTGCACGCATGTGTGTACGCGCGTGTGTGTGTGCGTGTGTGTGCGCCCGCATCCGAGGGGTGTTTACACAAACACACTCTATTGCCATGGCTGTGACTACAGAGGGTCTGTAATTTAGGTATAATTATAGACATCAGCTAAAGATCATAGAAGAGCCTTTGCCATTTGCTCCGGAATTTATTGCCCTCGAATGCAAAGCAGCATCAGAATGGTCTTGCTAAAAGTTTAACTTTCCCAAAAAGAAATGCGACCCACAGCCCAGCAAACATAAACGCGGGAGGAGGGGAAAGGAGGGCAGTCACTAGCAAACGCTGGAAGGAAACGTCTTAATATGGGATTATTGAAAATAAGTGCCACTCCGATGCAACCCTTCCCCTCCCCCAGCACCACTCCTGGACAGAATAGTTCAATTATGTGAAGTTCACTTGTAAGTCAGAGAAAATCTGCGATGCCATGGAAGTGCGCCCACGGCCCCAGAAACGTGCTCTCAATATCCAATACTTACAGACTAATGAGCTGGGGGAGGGGGACGAGGAGGAATGTGCCACAAATGCACTGGATCCTCAGTACAGAGCCTATATTCCCTGCATCGCTCTCTGACAATGAAGAAGCGGAGCAGAGGCTTTGGGGTGGCTTTAGGAGAGTGGTAAAACTGTTCTGCTCCTTTTTTTTTTTTTTTTTATCTCTCTTTCTCTTTTTTTTTTTTTTTCCTTTTCTTTTTTTCCTTTGCCTGCTTCCTAAGGATTCCCCAGTAACTTCCACCAATGGACCCCCAAGCTGGGCTCTCTCGGGGTGCCAACGTGCCAGGTCTAAAATAACCTGCGAAGGTCTCATGTTACACAAGTGCCCTGCAGGAACCGTGGCTTTCCAGCAGTCTGGACTTAGTATCTGAGAACCACAAAAAAAAAAAAAAAAAAAAAAATCTTGGGGAAAGAAACTTTTCCTTCCTCCCAGGCCCCCCCTCCTCCCAACCCCCCCATTGCATCGAAGTGCCTTACCAGCGCAGGAGTTCATCCGCTGCATCCAGGGGTAAACAGGGCTCGTGTACTTCCGGTCGGTGCCTTCGTCATTTACAATTTTGGCTTGGACGCCGCTGGATTTGTACTGTTGATCGGAAGAAAACTGCAGGTAGTCCCCGGGCCCCCTCTGTTTGCCACTGCCGGAGGGAGAGGCGCTACTAATTTCCTTGTCCGAATAAAAACAAGAGGCTCCGTACTCATAGGAAGCCCGATTGCAAGCAATGACGGTGTTGGACTGTTGGTAGAAACAAGGTGAGGTGTAAGTCTTGTCCTGCAGGCTGCTTGCCCCGTACGAAGCTGGAAAATGCCTGAGAGCATCATAGCCCGCCGGGTACAGGGGGATCTGCCCGAGGAAAGAGTCCTGGCCCCCGGGCAGGCTCCCCGGGAAAGTGGGATTCACGAAATAGGAACTCATTTGCTCTCCCCCTCTCCCGGACCGTGATTTGTTGTGTATTAGTACATCTGGCGATAACTATTAGGAGTCATCGAAGTGGTTTGTTTCTGGATGGCCGAGCGCCAAAAGCGACAGCAGAAAATAGGAGCAGCTGACGGCGGGGCGGCCAATGGGAGCGCGCGCGGCGCCCGCTCCCCCGGGGCCGCCGCCACCGCGCCGCCAACTTACCGGCAGCCCCGGCCCCGCCGCGCCGCGCAGCCACGCCGCGCAGCACCGCGCAGCGCCGCGCAGCAGCGCCGCGGGGGCCGGCCGCGCCCCCGGGCCGGCGCCGCCCCTCCGCGGGCAAAAAAAAATCCCGGTAATAGTCACCGTAATTAATTACAAGAAGAATAATACTGCTAATAATAATAATAATAATAATAACAACAGTCATAATTCCCGGCAGGAGCAGGCAGAGCGGGCACTGCGACAGCGGCGGAAGGGGACAACGCCACCCCACACCCCCCCCCCCTCCCCCAGCCGCTGGGGGGGGATAAGAAGGGGAGCGCCCTCAAAAGTTGGCGGCCCCACGCCAAGCGCGTCGCCCCCGAGGGAGCGGCGCAGCCCCGCGGGCGGCGTGGGGGAGCCGCTCCCGGCTCTCCGGCGGAGGATGCTGCGGAGCGAAAGTTTGGAGCGGAGGGCCGCGCAGCGCGGGGAGGGGGGGGCGGCCCGGCCTCTCTCCCGTTTTCCCACCCCGATGCTCCAGCCGCATCCAGGAGTCTTTAGGCGATATTTTTTCTTGTTGTTGTTTTGGGGGGGTTATTTTGTTTTGGTTTGTTTGGGTTTGTGGTTTGTTGTTTTGGTTTTGTGTTGGTTTTTTTTTTTTTTCGAAAATCGCCCCTCCGCTGAGGCTTCCCGTCGGAGCTTGGGGAGCCCGCCTCAGCGCCGAACCCACCTTTTGTGAGAGAGGCGAGCGCGTCCCGCGTGGAAGAGGTCTAGTATCTTAATGAACACCCCCCTAATTAACGCGGAGGCTGCGACTGGGGCAGGAAACGGTGGCCCTCTGGGGAGGGGGATTTTCGGTTGGCACCAAGTGCCCGAGAAGGCCCCGGGAAGGTCTGGGTGGGTTGCCGGCGCCCCCCGCGCAGCCCAGATGAAGTTCCACGTGTCCCTTCTCCCCGAGTCCCCCCCGCCAGAGTCGAGCCGAGGGAATCAAACATTCAAATTCAACAACGAGCCAGTAAGACTATTCCTAATTAATACAGCCCCGCTAATGAGTCAGCAGAAGCCAATCGGTTTCGTTGTTGCTCCGAATAATTTGATTAAATGCGGATGTGTGTCTTTAAGAGGGAAAAAAAAAAATACATGAAACAAACATTTCCACCTTAATTTTTCAACATGGCAGTTACCCCATAGCGGAAATATAATTCTTGGCCCAGGGCAGGGACAGTAACAGTGCTGATGAAATTCGCTGAGGCGCTTTTAATTCAGCCGTAACCCTGCAGTTCCTGGAGATAACATGAGGTTGTTCATTGCAAACTGTGTTTACTCATAATCCGTGCCCATTACAACAGACTGAGCAGCCTAATTTTAAACGCGCTCTGACAGAAAGTGACATTCGTACGAGCCCCGTTTCCTAAAGTAGCTTTCAAAGGAGAGTTTTGTTGTTGTTGGGAGACTATTTGTCTCATTTCCGGGGGCAGATTACGATACCTATAAAACAGTAGTGAGTTAAAACATCGCTCCACAATAGTTTGTATTGTTCACAGACTCAGCTGGACTTTCACATTCAGATGTTGATTGCCACCAATTTTTTCTTCCCCCCCCCCCCCCCACACACACACTTCCTTAACCTCTTCAGCCCGGGCAATCCATAAACACACCTGGCAGAATTACAGCTCACTAGATGCAATGCGTTGGGAGGTCATTTCAGAAACGCGTATTTCCTGAAAGCCAGCCTTCCGCAGAAAAAAAGTTTTTTTTTACTCAGCGCGAATAGAGTTAAAAAAGGAGGGAACACCGGCAAACAAGCACACAGTAAACTGAATACCAAGAGGTTCGTAAAAGAGCAGATTTTCGCCAACATAGGTCAGAACGAAAACACATCGTGAAAAAAAAGAATACTCGGAGCAAGCGAAACCCACCGGCCTTACTTTAAAAAGTTCTGGCCAGACCGTTTTTTGTTTGAATCCATCCCACAGAGACCAAAATAAAAAAATCGCGCCGGGCTTATTTATATTTACATTTTATAGCATCGGTTACAGCCTGATTTATTCCCCGCCCCCCCCTCTCTTTCGCTTTTTGTTTCTTTCCTCTTTTTATATTGTTTGCGTCCAAACCAAGCTGTCGAAAGCCCAACCGCAGGCAGCGGAAACATTTCTTCGTTGGTCCCATAATATTGAAAGGAATGAAATGTGCACTTTTGCCCGGCTGGGTCGTGTTAGAGTAGTTACAGTGACAGCTAAACAATCTGCACTGCAATCTCCGCTTCAGTCACATTCAGGCATCCTCTCCGCTCCTCCCCCTACCCCCAGAAAACCCCGAATTACAATAATCTGTTACCCCCCAGCTCTGCCGGGGAAACGCTCTGCCCGGACACATTTCGCAGCAGTTTCCCTTCACCGTTTCCCCCCCCCCCCGGAAAGCAGAAAGCCAGCCGCTGCATTTTGCCACCGCAACAAAGTCACACTTGGCGATACCCGTGTATTTCATCCGCCTTTTATTTGTTTTCGGAATTCCCCGCACCCCCAGCACCTCCTCCACCGAACACTTCGCCTTCCTCCTCCCGCGGAAAACCCGGCCGGCAGCCCCAGCCTCCCTCGGACACAGGTGCGGGGGCAGTTCCCCTCTTAGGCGTAAAAGCCTCCTTCTCCTCGTATAGAAAACCACTTACAAATCCTTCTCATGCTCGGCAGCGTCACCAAAACCAACCTTCAACTAATAGCTCCTAATCCAAACAGTTTGGGCAAGGCGAACCGTTGTTTAGACTGGCAGGGTATCGGGAGCCTGGCCGGGGGGACGCGGGTGGGTCCTCCCCAACCAGCTCCCACTGTGATATTTTACAGTTGACACACACCAAGGTCGAAGGGGAGGGGGCAGAGCCGGTCCTGCCGGAATATCTTGCCCGGGGGCGAGCTCCGATGCTCCCGTAGAAAAAGGTAGGCCGGATTTTTTTTTTTTTTTTTGTTATTGCAAATTGGTTTTGGGTTTGGTTGTTTTGGGTTTGTTGTTTTGTTTGTTTTTTTTTTTTTTTTTGAGGCGGGGGGGAGGGTGTCTTTGATTTGGGTTCCCCCCGAGAAGCGCAGGCTCCCAGCGCTGCCCTTGCCGGGGGCTGCGGGGGCCGCTCCGCTCCGCGCCCGCCTCCGCCGTCCCGCCACGCCGTGGCAGCACTGAGCACCCACGGCCCCGCAATAAATAATCCGGCGCTCGCTGCAGCTCCAGTCCGGCGGATACCGCAATGCAATGCAAATGCAATGCTTTATCAGCCCGGCAGCACAAGCAGAGCCGGGGCCAACACTTAAAGCGCTCCGAGCGGCTCCTTCGCCGTGAGGAGGCGGGAGCGGAGGCCGGGAGGCGGCGGCGGCGGGAGGGGGGGGGGGGGGGGCGGTTCGGGGACGCCGTCCCCGGGGCTCCGCTCCCCCCCCAACCGGCACAAACCGTGGGGCACCGGCCCGCCAGCCGCCGCTCCCCCCCGCCCCAGCCGCCGCACCGTAACAGTCACAACAAGGAGAGAAGGAAAGGGGGGGGGGGGGGGGGGGAATAGGGGGGGAAAAAAAAAAAAAAAAAAGGAAAGAAAGGGAAAAAAAAAAAAAAATCTCCGGCGCTGAAATAGGTTTAGCCGCTGCAAAACCAGCTCCGCGCAGCCGGGGCGCGCAAGCAGCCCATGCCGGAAAGCTCCGGGAACGCTGTTCCGACGGACCCACGGCGGGGCACGGGGGTTTTGCAGGCAGCGCTTAAGGTGATAAAGAAAATCAAAGACACGTTCGCGCTGTTTCCCCCTTCTAGAAATAACCTTTCTCCTGGACATGCCAGGGGAGCCAGGAGACATTGTGCTGACTGGTGATTTGGTTTTGTTGCCTTTTTGGTTTTTGTTATTTTGTTTTTATGTGGTTTGTTGTTTTTTTTTTTTTTTTTAATATTAAAAAATAAATTACATCTAAATTTCAGCTACCGCAAATGAACTTTAAGTTAATGCTGCGAAACAAACAAACAAAAAAATATTAATGTTTGGGGATTTAATTTTTTTTTTTTCCTCGTGCTGGGAAAAAAAAAAAAATCCCCTCGGATTGATGCTGTAAACCTGAATTCTTAAAAAATAACCTGAATGTCACAGCAACCCCCTGGCAAATGCAAGCAGAAATAAACTTCGTGAAAAACAAAATAAAAATCCACGGTTTCCTTGCTAAATAATAGAAAGTAGACATTTTATTTAGGCATATTTTTGCATGCACTGGTTAAGTCGAAATCAACTGAGCTGCAGCCACCTCTATTTTTGGCCGGTAACATTTCCATTTGGTTTAATTGCACATGTCTAATATTTAAACGTATTAAACCATGTTTCCCTGCTTACGGTAGTGTCATATACATTTCTCACCTTTTAGGTTCTGGCTCACAGGAGCCCCTGCGACTTTGACAGCTGTCGCTTTGGCTGCACAGGAGACGAATCGCCCTCCTTTTGGTGCCAGAAGAAGCAGGAAATTAGCCAGGTTGCAAGTTGAAAATCTGCCACGCCAGTGCTTTGAATCCAATATGCCACACCTTCCAGCGGGGGAACTGGAAATTGCCATCCCGGATCTGTGTTCTAGGCGGCTGCTTATGCCGAACCTCCGCACACTTTGTTCACTATTGCCTTACAAAGAACAAATGAAATGGGGATTGAAAGCCAGAGAGATCCGAAGCAGGACAGAGCTCAGCAAAAGAATGCGGCTCTATTCTCGCAAGGGAAATTATAAAAAAGTTCATGTTCACGGTTACCATCCACATGACCGACAACGACCAATGGAAAAACCGAACAACTCATAAAGTTGTATTGCAAAGTTGTAAATTTTCATAAACAACAACGGATTTATGGCCTTTTCCTCATCACTAAGAAGAGGCAGGTCTTAGAGAGGCGCCATCTTACCACAGAGGCAGCCCTGGAGTTTTTTAAAAGACCTGGAGTTTGTACTAATTTTATTAAAATTACAATTAGTACGTTGACCAGGAACGGAGTGTAGTAGAAAAAGGGAACTTCTGCGCAAATGATGCACTGGTTCTACCTGTATTTACCCGACTGAATAAAGGGACTTTTCGGTCGAGATTTTTTTTTTTTTTTAATATTTTAGGAAGATTACAAATATTAGATCTCCTTTACATTACGTGGTACCTGGCAAAAATGATACATTTCCTAAAGCGGGGCGATTTTTCCCCTTTTTAATGCCCCCCCGTGCCCCCTGCCCCCCGAAAGCCGCACACACAAACCCCACACGTACCCGACCAGATCATTTACACATGGAAGTTTCGCATCGCACTTTCCGTTCATTACAAAATATTATTCTACAACAAGCTATTTCGGCTTGATCGCCGGCCGCCTGGACGGAGGTTATGATTGCAAGAGGACACGGGAACACAGTGGAAGGAAGCCCTCCCATAAAGAAGGCTTTCCGCTTTATTAATCAACTGCGCTAGGGAAGAAAAAAAAAAAAAATCACGAAGTCGAGATAGAGAAATTGACTGATTCCTAGCAATTCATCACTTTGCATTTTTTTTTTACTTATGGTTACCGGGGAAAAAAAAATGGATTTATACAGTCTAATTTCTTTATTTATCTGTGTAAATTATTTTCTGATGCTTCCTTCGAACTGTTTCCCTAATAAAGAAACACAATTCATTGTCAACAAGCATATTTATTTTCTGTGTAACATAAAACACATTTATCGTGGGAGATACTTGTACACGGTATCACTTCCAAAGAGAGTTCACAGACATTTTTTCTTCCACTTCCAATACTTACACGGCATATCCAAATGTTCACAACGAACACATCGAAACACATTGTAACATACAATTTTTGAATAAACTTTAGCCAAACCTTCAAGACGGATTTATACAGAGTTCTTAACAATACATCATGCTACAAAGTTTCCAAATTAATTACATACTTCCCAATTTTGACATGATCTTACAAATGAGCTCCAAGACGAATATAAATGACAAAAAAAAAAAAAAAATCGTTCAAATATACAGTATCTGCTATTGTAGGAAAATTCACGGTATTACATGTTAACACGTTCTGATAATCAGGACAAACAGGTTTTTTTAAAGGTGGTTACATGGTCATTTAAATTCACTTTTCAAAGAACACTTTCCGCTATATTAAGTAAGATCAACCTAGAATAAGAAAACGGCCTTTAGCAGAGGCAGCCTAAGGTAGAAGCCAACGGGAGATATTAAACCGCTTTGTACACTATTGGCGTGTGTTTGCTTCCTCACTCGGAATAGTAAAGAATCGAGAACATAGATATATTGCAGCATATGGTTTTCATTTATAATTGCTTTGGAATAAATATATTATTTTAAATTTAAATATATTCAGCCTTTTCGGTACCAAATTCTATACCAAAGCTATTGATGCGTGCTTTTCGAACAACTACACTTACATTTCTAAAAGCATTTTGCGATTCACATTAGTAATGTTATCTTCTTTTGACTACTAAAATACAGTATACTTTCGAAGATAGGTAGGCGGAGCAAGATATATAGGTAGTCTGGAAAATAGGTAGTACAAATCATTGCTGTAGATTGTAGTGGTTTGTGGAACATCTTCCCCCCCCCCCTTACTTGCTCTTTACTCTTTTGTTAGTGTAACTGTTAGTTATGATACTTTTCTAACAATCATTAAAAATAAAAAAAAAAAAAAAGAAAAAGAAAAAAAAAAAAAGAGAAGTGCAGAGCTAATTATTAAAAATTAGGTAGTTTTTCTTAATGTGAGCCTAATGCACTTTTCCCCTTAGACATGATTGGGACTATTGAGTCAGGTAGTTACTTCGGAAGGTCACGGCTTACAATCTGTGCAAGCAGCATTTCTCCCACTGAAATGTCCACTGGACAAACCCACCCAGGTTTGGGTGAACAAAAAAACAAATGATTGTAGGATGCTCTTAGGAGATATTACCGAAAGCTTCGGCACAGGGCAGGTTTGGGGAGTACGGGAGAGTGGAGGGAAGGCTGGAAAACCACCCCAAGAAACGTTTTCATGTTTGCAAACGCTCGCTTGCAAGATGATTATTAAAGGGAACTGATTTTTTTTTTTTAAATAAAAACAGTGAGTCTCTCTTTTTTTTTTTTTTTTTTTTTTTAAAAGGGAGCTTTTTTCCAACTGTCATGTGCATACGTTATACTAAGAGATCGCTTCCTCGAGTGGGACTCCTTAGTCCTCCTCCTCTTCATCTTCTTCCACTTTCTCGACAGAGGCTGCTGCTGACGTGGGCTCGTTGGGAGCCGGGGTGCTGGAGCTCTCTTCCTTGTGCTCCTTCTTCCACTTCATCCTCCGGTTTTGGAACCAGATTTTGATCTGCCTCTCAGTCAGGCAGAGGGCATGGGCGATCTCTATCCGTCGCCGCCGAGTCAGATAACGATTGAAGTGGAATTCCTTCTCCAGCTCCAGGGTCTGGTAGCGGGTGTAGGTCTGGCGCCCTCGCTTCCTATCTGGACCTGAAAGCAGGCACACATGGCCAGGAGTTAGGCAAAGAGAGGTGGAAAGTTTTCTCTTTCTAGATTTTTTCCCCCTTATTTATTATTATTATTTAAAATAAATAAACAAACAAAAAGCGGTCGAGCGAGAGTGAATGATCCCCTTCTCTCACTTCCACCCGCCCCCCCACTTTGCCCTAACAAAGACATTTCAGCCACACAACCTGCCCTGCTCAGGCAGGGCAAAAATTAAGTTGCTCGAGACCTAGAAAAAGTGGAGAGAAAGCATTCAGGAGAGGAGGTGGGGGAGGAAATCGCTTTTGGGAGGAGGAACTTTCTCCCCAGGCGATGTATTTCCCTAAAACCTTCCAGACTTTCGCGTTTCGCAAGGGAAAATAAAAAGCTGGAAGGCTGGGCTGTATTTATTTTATTTTAATGTCGGGGGCTCCCTCCCCCCCCCCCCCCCCCCCCCCAACCCGCCTGGATCGTAAACAATACATCGCATTTAGCTCCAGAAGAGAGCTCTCCTTTTTCACACACTCGCGCCCCCAGCGCCCCCCCCCCCCCCCCCCCCCCGCTCCGTTTTCCTGTTTAGTACATTTCTATAGATCCTTATCTCCGTAGAAAGGGCAGGAGGGACGAGAGTAGCACGTCTCGGCAACGTGGGCTGGCAAAGTCCTCAGCAGCCCGTCCCCCGCTCCTGAACGCCCCTCGCCCCTCCGCCTTCCCCAGCGAGCGGGATTTTTTTTTTTGCCCAACTTCGGCAGAGGGCAGGGGAGACGCTTACCCGTGGGGGCTCTAGGAGCCCGCAGCCAACTCTCCACATTTCTATAGCAAACAGCGCAAATCAACTCAATGTTAAAATTCCATAGCAAATGGAGTTAAATAAATTTACGAGGCTAGAACCCATTAATTGGGCAATAAAAGTTTTATGATACTCATTTACATACAATGCCACGGGCTTTCTACGCAATGGCGCCTCGGCTATAATTAAAACCATAAAGGCTGTGCTGACAGTAATTCTGGCGACACGCTTTGCCTGGCTGCCACGGCTCCAAGCCCTCTCCGCTTGCCCCTACCTGAAGACCTCATCCAGGGGTATATCCGGAAATTAGGCTCAGCCTGGTTGTGCAGGTTGCTTTCCTCCGCTTTCTCACAGCTGGGTTTGGTTAGCTCATTGCAGAGGACGGGAATGTTCTGATCAAAAGAGGAACAATGCAGGTTGTAGGCATCAGAGCCCAGGCTGTATCCGGAAGAGAACGGGCTTTGATATATGGTACTGTTCACATTGTACAAGCCGGGCATGGAGGAGGCGAAGGCACCCGCGCCCGGTCCATAGCCGCTTCTCTGGGAGTTGCTTGCAAAGGAGCAAGAAGTAGGCTCTGCATTTTGGAAAAGAGAAGCCCCCGCCGTATATTTGCTAAAAAGCGCATTCACATAATACGAAGAGCTCATAATTTTGACCTGTGATTTGTTGTCCGGCAGGCTTCAGTGTCGGTTTTACGAGGTAGCGTGATATATGATAACATTACACCCCCAGATTTACACCAAACCCCATTTTCTTTTGGACTGAGCTGCCTCGAGCACGTGACCGGTCATATGACGCCGCCCGCCAATCCCCGCCCGCCTCACAGGTGGTGCCGGCCGCGGCCCGCCGGTGCCCGGCCATGGACGGGCCGGGGCCGGGGCCGGGGCCGGGGCCGCCGCCGTCGCCGTCGCCGCCGCGCCCGGCAGCGCCCTCCAGCCGCCGCCCCCCATCGCCCCCCGACGGCGCCGCCGCGGGGAGGGGAAGGGAAGGGGGGGGGGGGGGCGGGCGCTCGGCCCCCCACCCCATAGGGGGGGCGGGGGGCGGGTGGGGGGGGAGACGCGCACAGACCATGTGGTCCTTTAGATGGACGGGAGGGTGTTGCGAAAAATAAAATAATAAAATATAAAGTTTAAAGGAGGCTGCCTCGCGTTGTTTTTCCGCGAGGAAAATAAGCGGGGTGGGGGCGGGGTGGGGGGGGGTTAGGGGGGGGAACAACCTCCGGCCGCCGGGCCCCGCCGCATCGGCGGCGGCCCCGAAGGGCTGCCCGAGCCTGGAAAATCAAGGCGCCCCCCTGGAGTGAGCCCCTCCGATATTCCCCCTAGGAAAAAAAAAAAAAAAAAAAAAAAAAAAAAAGAAAACACCGGCACCCTCCCCGGAAGGGGAATAAAATAAAAACCAAAACAACAACCCACACCAAAAATGCGGAAAAAAAAAACCAGGCGAAGGTTCAACCTTCTCAACGTCTCAGAAAAAAAAAAAAAACAACACCAAACCCAAAACAAACCAACAAACAAAAAAACCCCAAAACAAAACAAAATAAACCAAACTCCCCAGAGCTGAAGAAATCGCCTACAAACGGCTTCAAATCTCGGCCGGTTGTTTAATGTTCCTTTTACCTTTCCGTCCTACCTACCTTACAGCCCCGGGCGTGAGGCGGCAGCGGTACGCTCAGATGACGGGGAGCGTTGCTGCTGCTTTTCTAAACACTGGGGTCCCCAACAATGCGAATGGCTCTCCATTGAGGATGCTGCACCGTGCCCTTCCTTTAAACGGATCGTAAAATGAGTTTCCTTCCCTCAGACAGGGAGTCCTGGTAAAGACAGCTTTTACTGCCTGCCTGTATTGCACATCATAAACTGGAAGGAGCACAATGGAATTGCCCCGGAAATTCTCCTTTCAATTATAGTTTGGTGCCCCGTGTACAAAGACTTTCTCACCAGTTAAAATTGTTCTTGGCGATATCTCGCACGGACCCTAAACTTTACGTTTTGTAAACGTGGGACACCCTCTCTCCCCCACACACCTCCAACACACACACACACACACACACACACCCACCCCTCCTTTGGGACTCTTTATGCGCGGTTATTGCAGCCCCATTAATATAGGTTACTGAGAGAAGGAAGTAAATTCTCTAAAGCCAGATCCCTGAGATCTTGGTGCTTCAGAACATGCAAATGTGGCAGCTATATGTAGGTATTTGCCAAGTGTTAAGTACGGGAAAACGCAGTTATTATTCGCAGGAGTAAGGGAGAAGCTGGCGAAAGATCTCCCTTCGGTTATTTCTTCCA